CAGGGGGAACTGCGGGGGAGGCTGAGGGAACAGGGTCAGGGTGGGGGCTGAGGGCAGTGGATTGAGGTTGGGGGGCACAGGGGGAACTGCGGGGGAGGCTGAGGGAACAGGGTCAGGGTGGGGGCTGAGGGCAGTGGATTGAGGTTGGGGGGCACAGGGGGAACTGCGGGGGAGGCTGAGGGAACAGGGTCAGGGGGACTGAGGGCAGAGGGACCTGCCAGGGGGCCAGGTGAGCCCAGCAGTGCATACATGGAGCGGCTCCCAGGAAGCATCCATCAGGCAGGTCCCTCCTAGTCCCTCTGGCCCCTTCCCGCCCCACTGCAGCACGTAGGAGAACAAGACCTCCTCGCTGCCTCTCTGTGGGCAGGAGCAGGGCTGCGCTCTGCAGGCTCCTGCTGGCCAGGCGGGGGGCCCCGTGAGCTGGCGCTGCCACGCCGGGAGCTCAGCTGCGCGCTGCCCCAGGGCCCAGGGAGAGAAGGTGAGTGGCGCCGGCAGTGCCGGCTTGCCATGGTACCCCCTCATATAGGGTGACCAGACGTCCTGACCAATGTAAGGTCGGGATGTGGGACAAGTCCCCTAAAATCAGGACTGTCCCGATAATATCGGGACGTCTGGTCACCCTAGATGGTGTCTATAAAATCTAGGTTGCCTTAATATTTTCATTTTATTTTTATCTCCACAAGAGGGAGTACTGTAAATGAAATGAAATAGGATTTTATACCTTAATGAGGCTTGTTGGATAAAGAATGCATGACCATGCACAGCTTGTTTTGAATCTTTACAAATATTTTATCATGTGCATTGTTTATAACCAAACCGCCATCTCACTCTCAGCCAACCGTGAGAACAAGCTTTTAAAGCTTCAGAAATGAACAGTAGGGATTCTTCCTTTTGCAGAAGCTGAGCAGAGGTGGGGGATCTGTCATATTCAAAGGCACTGTGAATATTAATTAGTACATTAAAGTATTCCCATGAGGTAGTCTGCACTTGTAAATGTGTTTTGGGTTTTTTTACAGCTACATTTTATATTTCAAACTTATGAAATAAAACACTTTTTGTAGCTAGAGTGGGATTGGCCATATCTGTTTGACAATATTTAAATTTAATATAAAACTATCTCACACAGTCCATCTCTCTACTAGGATTACCCTGTGCTGTAGAATGTTAAACATAGTGTAAACCTTGTAAAGTAACTTCTTCACTCACTGTAACGTCACAGCTGTGAATTAAGAGTCAACCCATCAAGAGGAAATTATCCCTTTTGAGCAGCAGTTGCTGCTCCAATGGTGCCTCACAGGAAGGCATTCTGGCAGTACATAAAGGGGAGCTAATCAAGGCTCAGGCAACAGTTGGCAGGGGGAAAAAAGGAATGAGAGATGAAAAGGAGAGGGGAGACTTAGAAAAATAGATTATAAAATTTAAAACAGGAATATTTTGAATCATGAGCTACCATTGAGGCCAAGAGCTTAGTAGATTCATAAAAGGACTGGGCATTTATATGGACAACAAGAACGTGTAGTCAGGATAGCAAGGATTTAAAAAAAAGGACACAAACCAAACACAACCAAGTTTTGAAAGCAGTATAAACCCTCATGTGTTGGGCATAAGCCATCCCCTAATTAACAAGAAGAAAACTATCCTATGGACAGTATGTTTCATACATGCCTACTACCAGTTCTTTTTTTTTCCCCCATCTTCCTCTGAAATAGTTGGAATTGGCTATGGTTGGATACTGGACTAGCTAGACCACCAGTTTGATCTGATATTACAATTCCTCTGTTCCTGTAAGGTTTCAAGTCCATCTGAGATTTTTAAGTTTTGCCCACATGATTTTATGGCTGTACCAGACCCCCTATGGTAATCAAAATTTGATAGCTTGTAGTTTCCTGTTCTTTGATCTATGTATTAAAGTATGTGCTGTTAAAATATGAATGTTGACCCTTTGCTTTATACATAGAGAGAGAGAGCAAAGGGTCTCTCTCTATATCTATATTTATAGGCCCTGATCCAAAGCCCATGGACTTTGGATAAAAAAACTTCTCCACACCTTCTGCATCCTTCTCGCATTCCTCTTCGTGCCTTCATCTGTGCTGTATTCTACACAATAGGCCAAGTGCATGATTCAAGTCCCTCCTCAAAACTCACTTCTTCAGATGCTAACCCACATTGACCAAAAACTCCTGTCTTCTATTCAAGGAGTTCCAGCTGAACCACAAGGAATCTGGGGAAGTGCAGCCATGCTAGACAGAGCCAACATTATTTCTAAGGGACCAACAAGAAAAACTCCTGTTGCCTAACCAGCTGGGATAATCACACTGGACAAGTGAAATACCAGGCCATTTTTCACCACCTAAGCAGGTATTATTACACAGTAGGAAGAAGTGAATCTGCTTAACATTGGTGAAAGGGGTTTTAAGTGGATAACTTACATTTAAATGTCTCTGCCTCCAAAACTTGGCAGCTGGCTTGATGCTCAAACTGATCATCTTCGCAGAGGAAATTATGACAAAAAGAGCAGCTGAATATTCTGCCTCCTACAAGATTTATCAAGACAAATAGAAAAAAGAGCAAGCATGGGTTTAAAAGAGGGTTGGGTTTTTTTTGTTTGGTTGGTTTTTTTTAAACTCATGCAATTTAGGCTGCTTTACATGGGTTTGACTAAGAATAAATTTTCCCTTCTGTCACAAAACACTTAAGAAGAAAATCCTAAATTAAACATTGTCCATCTGGCATTACTCTGAAATATACTACACATTATAATGACACAGGATAGCATAAAAGTGAACCAAGGAACACTAGTGGTCATTTTATTCTTATAATATTTTGATTTGATTATGGCTGAAAGAGATCATGTTAGGACATTTGGGCCAAAATATCCCTTTTCCATGCTTACCATCCCTTCTCCAAAATATAAATTTGGTTGAAATACACAATAGGAACTCCAAAATTGGAGACTAGTGTAGTTTGATCAAGGAGCTGGGTACCAAAAGAAACAAAACACCTCTTCTAGTGCAAGGAAAGGAGCAAGAATACCAAAGAGACAGCCAGTGTTTACACAACCTATTGGAGTGATATGACATAAGGCTCTCGACACTAAAGTGATGAATGCAGTATAAATGCCTAAGTAGATTACATAAATACTCCTGAGTTGTAATCCCATTTTAGACAGATTACCTATATGCTCTTGGGCACGTAATTTAAATTCTGTCTCCATTTACCCATTGTAAAATGGGGATGATGCTTAGTAAGCTTCCAGGTGTGTTTTGAAGATTAGCTAATATTTGTGGAGTGCTTTGAAGATGTAAAATGCGACATTAAGTGTTGAGTGTTACAATACTCTAGACCAAGGGTTCTCAACCTTCTTCTTTCTGAGGCCCCCCCAAACATGCTATTAAAAACTCCATGGCCCACCTGTGCCACAATAACGGGTTTTCTGCATATAAAAGCCAGGGCCGGCATTAGGGGGTAGCAAGCCAGGCAACTGCCTGGGGCCCCAGGTCACAGGGGCCCTCGGGAAGCTACAGTGTTCAGGCTTCAACTTCAGGTGGCAGGACTCAGGGCCCTGGGCTTCAGCTTTCTACCCAGGGCCCCAGTAAGTCTAATGCTGGCCCTGCTTGGCATCCCCCATGAAACCTGTTCATAGCCCCCCCAGGGGGCCCCGGACCCCTGGTTGAGAACCACTGTCTAGACACTATTAGGGTTACCATATTTTAAGTGTCCAAAAAGAGGACACTCCACGGGCCCCGCCCCAGCCCCAGCCCCACCCCTTCCCAGCCCCACCCCAACTCCGACCCCTTCCCCTGGATGCTTCACCCCCCTGCGCCTCCCCCTCCCCTGCTTCCCATGAACATTTGATTCGCAGGAATCCTGAAGCAGCATGCAGGCTGGGGTTGGGGGGCATGGCCTAGTCCGGCCCCCCCTGGCCGAGCGGCTCCCTTTGGCAGCCGGCTGGCCCAGGCCAAGAGGCTCTGGCCCTGGTGTCTCCCGCCCGGCTTGGCTTGGGCCCTGGGGTGCCGACCGCCGGCCTCCGGCCCAGCACCGCCAGCTCTGGCCCCCGGCCGAGCACCGCACAGCCCCGGCCCCAGGCTCCGCACCACCACCCCCGGCTAGGCTCCCGGCCGGGCCCCCAGCCGAGCACCGCCGGCCCCAGCGGCTCCAGCCCCCAGCCGAGCACCGCCAGTCCCTCCCTTCCTCCCTATTTTCCCAGACATGTCCGGCTTTTTGGGATTCCCCCCCCGCACAGGGATTTGAGGCCCAAAAAGCCGGACATGTCTGGGAAAATCCAGACGTATGGTAACCCTAGACACTATATGCAAAAAATGAGGTTTTTTTCCTTCAATCTTAAACAACTTACCGTGATCCCAGACGCTTCTTTCACACTCAATGCATTCTGCATCTGCAAGAGGGCAGATACAAGCATGTGTGCTGAGACACTTCCTACCATGGCAGACCCAAGCTTCACAGAAATCACAGATTGCACCCTGCAAACACAGAAAGACATCAACTTGGAACATCTATCATATCTAAAGAGAAATTCTGCTTCTGTACTCTAGAATGTGCCCATGTATCCACTCAGGCTATCAGTGGGCTCATTCCACTTTAGGGGCATGTGGTTTGAGGGGAGGTGAAGGTAAGGCATATTACCCCTTTCACCTTTACACCCAGTAGCTAGAAATGTATCCAGATTCTAATCAACTCCTTTCAATATTCAGCTCATGTTCTAGGCATTCACTTCTGCAGGACTTAATCTAATCAACTGTGCTTTGGTTTTGATGTTTTATTTTTTCCATTAATGTCTTGAATCTTATGCATGAAAAATAGCTTTCTCCCCTATAATTTATGGATATGATCTTGCAGCCTTGTTGACATATATGAGATAATGCTCTGGCAAAAATACAGTTTATCAAATCAAAAACCACTCAAGCTATTCTTACAGCTTAAATCAACTATTTAGATTTTATAACAAACTCTACACTAGAACTCTGACCTCTTAAGACAGTAAAGGTCATATAACATAAGAAAGGTAAGGCAAAAATTAAGTAATCAGTTTATAACCAATTTAATTTTACAGTTAAAGTTACAAGACTACAAACCTCAAACTTCAATTTTAATATTTGACAGACAGACAAGATTTCCTACCTCACATATGACAGCAACTTCACAATATACTGTATGCATAGGGATTTAATGGAGTTACAGCAACATAAAACTGACATACTCGAGTGGAGAATCAGGCCCACAGTGTTAAGATTCAATGAAAAATCTGTTGCATTTTAAGGCACAGAATGATTTTGTTATTGCAAACAGTCCACTACCTAGCGGAGGCAGCTGCAGGGATATATTTACATAAATTTTCCACACAGGAGCCCCATCTCCCTAAATTTTAAATTTTTAAGAATTTCTTTGGCAATATTCACATTTACAAATAATACTTTTGGTATTTCAAAGGGACTTATCACTTAACTATATAAGGGATGAAAAAGGAAAATAAGTTACTGATTTACAGAACAATCACTGTAAATAAAATTATTTATGGTTTAAACATAGTTCTCAGTGACTGCATTCTAAAAATCTACATAACTCCATTAGCTTCAATGGCATTAATCTAGATTTACACCATTTTAATGGAGATCTCATTGGGGGCTACTCAGGTATGTATGTAAAGATACTTAAGTGCATAAGAGTTTGCGGGATCTGCGTTTAAAGTGTTAATTTAGCTTTGTAGTCCTATGGAGATGTATTTTGTTACAGTGTACTGAGAATAATAATATTCTGAGGTTTAGTCTGATATTATTCTATAACAAATAAAAGCCCAGTTCACACAGTCCAAGACCAGAAGGGACCATTCTGATCATCTGGCCCAGAGGTTCTCAACCTTTGTCTTTCCGACAGCCCCTCATGCTATAAAAACTCCATGGCCCACCTCTGCTGCAATAATTGGTTTTCTACATATAAAAGCCAGAGTCAGCGTTAGGGGGTAGGAAGCAGGACAATTGCCTGGGGCCCCCATGAAGATGCATTGCTCGGGCTTCAACGTCCGCCCCAGGTGGTGGGGCTCAGGGACCTGGGCTTCAGACCCATGTGGTGGGGCTTTGGCTTTATGCCCTGGGCCCCAACGAGTCTAATGCTGGACCTGCTTGGAAGCCCCCCTGAAACCTGCTCGCGGTCCCCTGGTTGAGAACCACTGATCTAGTCTGACCTTCTGTGTAACACAGACCATAGAATATTTGAAGAATTCTCCGAAAAACAACATGCTTTTATATACATACCACCATTGCAAGGCCAGTACTGTACACACCAGCATGTTTTATAACACAGTCTGAAGACTTCATCATACATTTTGTTTTCCCTATTAATCCAAAACAACAACAAATTATTTAGAGTCAAAACAGTTTCGAGTGAATGACAATGTAACAGCAGTGAAAAATAGGGAATTTAAGCAGTTACTTAAGTATATAAAAGGCACACACAAAAATGCAACCAAACAACATGCAACACGCTATCACACCTCCCTTTCTGATCCTCCAGAACAAACGATTAATTCTTTTTCTTATCCATTTAGGCCTAAATCTTTCTCACCTTACTTCTGAGATTGTAAATTCTGTAGGGCTGGGCCCATGTCTTACTATGTGTTTTGTAGCCTGCTGAGCACTCTGTCAGCACTTCACACATCAAAAAAATCACACACAAAATTAAAAACATTATTTAGATTGCAGAGTCAAACAATCAACATTTTTACCATTCAGTAATAGTGACCATAATATAATTACATTTAGCACCCTTGTAGTGGGAAAATGCCAAAACATGCCAGCACAGTAACATTTAACTTTTTAAAAAAGGACTACAAAAGAATGAGGATGCTAGTTAGATGAAAATCAAAAAGAGCCCTCACAAAGATTAAAATACACCTCTAGCCCGATATAACGCGACCCGATATAACACGAATTCGGATATAACGCAGTAAAGCAACGCTGGGGGGGGGGGACTGCATGCTCCGGCAGATGAAAGCAAGTTCGATATAACGTGGTTTCACCTATAACGCGGTAAGATTTTTTGGCTCCCGAGGACAGCGTTATATTGGGGTAGAGGTGTACCTTCAAGCATCATGAAGACTACTTAAAAACACCATAACTGAGGCTCAGACTAAATGTATACCCCTAAGCAAAAAAGACAGGAGGAAGACCAAAAGAATACCACTGTGGCTAAACTTCAGACTAATGGAGGCCATTGAGGGGGTCGGGTGGGGAATTCTTTAAAATCTGGAAGTCAAATCCTAATGTGGAAAATAGGAAGGAGCACAAACTCTGGCAAGTAAAACATAAAAGTATAATTAGGCAGACCTAGAAAAAATTTGAGAAGCAACTTGCTAAAGACACAAAAACTAACAGTACTTTTTTTCTTTTTTAAGTACATCAGAAGCCGGAAACCCAGGGAATGGAACCACAGATAACAAAAGTGTAAAAGGAGCATTCAGGGACATCAAGGCCATTGTAGAGAAGCTAAATGAATTCGCTGCAGCAGTTTTCACTGGAGAAGATTTGGGGAAGATACCCACATCAGAGCTATTCTTTTGGGGCATAAATCTGACGTACTGTCCCCAATTAGAACAAATTGATACCCTACACAGTAATAAGTCACCACAACCAGACGCTGGTCATCTAAGAGTTCTGAGGGAACTCAAATATGAAATTTTGAGAACTACTAATTGTACTATGTAACCTATCACTAAAGTCAGTCTCTGGTCCAGATAACTGGAAATTAACTAATGAATGCCAATTTTTTAAAAGGGCTCCAGAGGCGATGCTGGCAATTACAGACCGGTAAGACTAATTTCTGTACTGGTGTATTGGTAGAAACTATAGTGAAGAACAAAATTATCAGACACAGAGATAAACATGATTTGTTAGGGAAAAGTCAACAGAGCTTTTGTAAAGGGAAGTTGTGCCTCATTAATCTATTAGAATTCTTTGAAAGAGTCAAAAAGCATGTGGATAAGGGTGATCCAATTGATATAGTGTTCTTGGATTTTCAGAAAGCCTTTAACAAGGTCCCTCACCAAAAAGCTCTTTAAGGAAACTATATAGCCATGGCATAAGAGGAATGGTCTTTTCATGGATCAGTCACTCGTTGAAAGACAAGAAACAAAGGATAGGAATAAATGGTCAGTTTTCATAATGGAGAGAAATGAACAGCAGGGTCCCCCAAGGATCTGTATTGGGACCTGTGCTGTTCAACGTTCACTAATGTTCTGGAAAAGGAGGTTAACAGTGAAGTGGCAAAGTTTGTAGACAATGCAAAATTATTCAAAAGAGCTGAGCCAAAGAAGACTGTGAGGAGTTAGAGAGTTCTCACAAAACTGGGCAACAAAATGGCAGATGTAATTCAACGTTGATAAGTGCAAAGTAATGCACAAGTGAAAAAATAAAACTCTACATATACATTGACAGATTCTAAATTTCCTCTTGCCACCCAAGAACATTATTATGGAAATGCGGTGGAGAGTTCTCTGAAAACCTCCACTCAATCGGCAGCAGCAGTCAACAAGGCTTAGCAATATGTTAGGAACTATTTGGAAAGGGGATTAAAAAATAAAACAGAAAATATCATAATACCACCATGTAAATCCATGGTGCATCCATGTTCAGTTCTGATTGTCCCATCTCAAAATAGATATAATGGAACTGGAAAAGGTTAAGAGAAGAGCAACAAAGATGATTCAGGGTACGGAATGGCTTCCGTACAAGGAGAGACTAAAAAGATTACGGCTGTTCAGCTTGGAAAGGAGATGACTAAGGGGGGAATATGATAGAAATTATAAAATCATGAATGGTGTGGGAAAAGTGAATATAAAAGTTTTATTTACCCTTTCCCACAATACAAAAACCAGTGTTACCCGATGAGCAGACAGCAAACAAGGGGAAGTACTATTTCGCACCGTGCACAACTAACATGATATTGTGATGGCCAAAAGTATAACTGTTCAAAAAGGAACTGGATAAGTTCATGGAGGATAGGCTCATTAATGGCTATTAGCCAAAATGGCTAGGGACACAATCTCATCCCCAGGGCGACCCTAAACCTCTGACTACCAGGAGCTGGGAATGGAAGACAGTGGTGTATCATTACATAATTGCCCTTTTCTGTACTATCCCCTGAAGCTCTGGTATGGCCCCTATCAGAGACAGGATAGCAGGCAAGATGGACCAGGGTCTGACCCAGTATGGCAGCTCTTATGTTCTTCAAGTTAAGAAATGCCACATTTAGAGTTACCTCTGCAACCTTAATTCTGCCCCCTTCTGTGTCCACCTTGTGCACTGGATGAGGCCGGGGTCTGGAAAAAGTAATGTGTGATCATGTATCTAAAGACTATCATAATACATATGCACAAAAGGGTTGAATGGATATTGCACAGGCAACTGCAAATCTTGCATTTCCTAGCTTTTGAGTGTTTGACTTTGCAACCTTAGTAATGTTCTTTTAAGCCAGCTTTCATGGTATGCAATTTTTTTTTTAAGGAAAAATTAGGAAAAGTATTAAAAATTCTACCACGTGGAACTGTAAACTAAACCCTCTATGCAGCATCAGCAGGTGCTTATAGTACTTTAGCTGCATGACAATCTACATTAGCTAATGTCAGGAAGGGTGGGGAAGGACTGCTGGAGTTATGTGCTGGGAATGGAAGGGTGGCTGGGGTCTCATCAGCATGGCTCTCTGTCCCCTTTCAGCACTTTGGGGGAGCTGGTGCCCTACATGGTACACCTAAAGGGGAGAACATTTTTTAACAGCTTTATAACTCAGGAGAATTTCATGGGACAAGAAAGCAAAAGGCTTGCTTCTAGCCCTCGAGCTTTGTTCCTACCTAATTTCAGAGGCCCACTACAGACAATGAAAGTGTTAGAACTTCTTAAAAAATGGAAGCTTAGAATGTTTTAATGGAAAATTTTAGGCAGGCTAAATATAATAATCACTAGCAGCTCACCCTATGATACAAGTACCAAACAATTCTGATTGTCTTTACTAGGAAATCTTGGAAGCTTACATCTTTTTTGTAAGATACTTTTAGGAACACTTTCTTCTCTCTGTAAACATTTTACACATCAAGATAGACAAATTCAGCAAGACTCAAATCTTTTAAAAGATGTGTAGTATACTAGAAGAGCAGAAAATGAACTTTCACCACTTTAGTGTAGTCTCTAGTGACAGAAAGAAGGTTTATGAATTATGATATACAGTGGAATAGTATTACACACTAATGGCCTAGTTTTTCAGAAATGCTCAGCATCTGCAGCTTCCCATGAAGTCAACAGGAACTGCAGGTGGTCAATACCTCTGAAAATCAAACCACAAATCACCAACATGCTTTATGGCAAGTAGAAAATATGTAAAAAATACATGAAAGCTTGTTAAACCAGGAAAGCAACACAATTCATTTCAAAGTATACATCATATTTAGCCCCTCTTTACCTCCCCTTTTAAGCAAGCACCAATGCAAATAAGATTTAGTACCTGATCTAAAGCCCCCTGCTGCCAGTGGGAGTCTTTCCACTGAGTTGAAAGGGCTTTGGAGCAGACCTTTAATGCACGTAAGTACTGTGGTAACAAGTTATACAATATATACATACAAAGCAAACAATTTATCACTGATTTAATTTATACTAATAAGCAGTGGTAATAACATTGTGCTAAAAGCTGCAATATTTCCTGATTAAAAGAGCAGCATTTTGGCAGCCTTTTTAACTTCGCTCTCAGCATCAAGCAATCCCACAGCCATTTGTTCAAAGGGAGAGCCAGAATGTAGAACACTCTCAGTCATAACAAATAGCTAAACATGTTTTTTAAACAATAAAATCACACAAATAAACGGCCAAAACCCTTTTGGGGTCAGTGAGACTATTCATGTGCACAAGAATTTGCACAATCAGGCCTCAAGGGGCAAATTCTCAGCTGGGCAAATTGGCATAGCCCCATGAATTTACACCAGCTGATGATCAGCTTCTAGACAGACCTAGTTAAAATACTGAGACTTTATATAAGAACACAAAGGGAATGCAGTGTAAGGGGGGGAAAGTGTATTTTCCTTTGTCAGTTACACTTACCACAGTGTGCACAAATAGGCAATTTTTGAACAGAACTACAAAAGTAGCAGAATGCTCTATTCTTCTGTCGTCTTGTCATATGAAAAAAATCAAAACAAAGCATTAAACAAAATCTTTAAAAGTAAAAATAGGTTAAAATGCTGAAGAAAAACAAGTATATTTACCTTTGGCATTTATCACATTCCTGTGAAATGCAAATTATAGATAGTTATTTTTCCTCATGTAAAACAGTCAGTGTACAGCTTTTGTAATGATTCTGATATAATTTATGATTAGGTAACCATTAGATATATATTTATATTGAAACACTCAAATGCTTCTTTAAATCCAAAGCTCATGATATAAATAAATTATCATATAAGTATAAAGAATAACTTTCTAATTTAATGCAGCCAATGTAACTATATCAGTGGTTTCACAGAAATTTAAAAATTGATATCATAGGTAGTTTTGGTTATTTTACCATTGAAGCATTACAAGGATGTTTAGCTAAATCTATGTTGCCCCTTGAAGCTCTTATCTGCTTTTCACGTTCTCGACGATTCTCGGCCTTCTTGCGTGCACCTGTCTTCTTTTTAGGCATTTTTCACTTTCTGTCAGAAACAACAAAAAACAATACAGACACACAAATGTTTTACATGTATGGAAGCATTAATTAGTCCTTTGTGTTCATGACCTGTAAAGGCCAGTACTATTATATTAGCATCATCTACTTCCACTCATTCCTTTCTCTGAAAGCTCAACCCCTTCATCTTTGAATGTAAATTAAGGGCCCAATCCCAAAAACATGAATTAGCTGTAGTACCAATGACTTGAATGGAGTTACTCTGTACTGAACTCTGTGCTTGGCAATATAATCCATCTGTAAGGTAGTGGTGATGTTTTTTGTTGTTGCTTTAATTTCCCCACATGTCTTACTAATGGATCACACATAGGGTGACCAGACAGCAAGTGTGAAAAATTGGGACAGGGGATGGTGGGTAATAGGAGCCTATATAAGAAAAAGACCCAAAGATCGGGACTGTCCCTATAAAATCGGGACATCTGGTCACTCTAATCACATATGAAGTTTATTTTCTTTCTTTCACCTCTCTCTCTTCCCTCAAATCTAGACACAATCTGGTTAATTAAGTCAAAGAGCACTGTTCTTCAACGGCAAAAGTCAGAGTATTGCAGCAATCCAAACTTAACACTTACCAAACAATTAGAGAGATTTAAATTTGTTAGTCTCTAAGGTGCCACAAATACTCCTTGTTCTTTTAATTAGAGAGATGTGACTTGATTATAATAATGACCATGCTGAGTCAGACCTATGTTCCATCTAGCCCAGTATCCTGTCTTCCAACAGAGGCTGGTGCTAGATCGGGGTTCTCAAACTGGGGGTCAGGAACCCTCCTGGGGTGCTGAGGTTATTAAATGGGGGGGTCATGAGCTATCAGCCTCCACCCCAAACCCCGCTTTGCCTCCAGCATTGATAATGGTATTAAATATATTTAAACGTGTTTTTAATTTACAAAGGGGGTCGCACTCAGAGGCTTGCTATGTGAAAGGGGTCACCAGTACAAAAGTTTGAGAACCACTGTGCTAGATGCTTCAGAGTGAATGAACAGAACAGGCAATTATTGAGTGATCCATTCTGTCATCCAGTCTCAGCTTCTGGCAGGGTCAAGAGCTTGTTTAAGGGTATGTCGACACTGCCCACGTTACACTGCGGCCACGTCAGCGCTGTGACATGGGAGAGCTCTCCCGGCGATTAAAAAAAACAAAAAACATCCCGAACAAGCGGTAGTAGCTATATCGCCAGGAGCCATACTGCCTATACTGCCGCTTTTCAGCGCTAAAACTTTCGTCGCTCAGGGGGGTGTTTTTCCACACACCCCGAACGACAAAAGTTTTAGCGCAGAAACTGGTACCATAGACATAGCCTAATCTTAAAATACACCAGTGAAGCTGTGTCGCTGCTGCGCTTCAGCGTAGATACTATCTTCTACACGGACAGAAAGGGTTCTCCCATGGGCGTAGGTAATCCGTCTCCCTCAGGGGTAGTAGCTAGGTTGACAGAAGAAGTCTTCCATCAACCTAGCGCTGTCTACACACAAACTTAGGTCAGTTTAAGAATGCCACTCAGGGTGTGGATTTTCAGACCCAACTGACATAGTTAAACTGACCTAATTTTCTAGTGCAGACCAGGCACTGGGGACATCCAGAGCATAGAGTTGCATCCCTGACCATCTTGGCTAATAGCCATTGGTGGACTTATTCTCTGTGAAATTATGTTATTCTTTTCTGAACCCAGTTATACTTTTGGTCTTCACAACATCCCCTGGCAATGAGTTCCACAGGTTGACTGTGCATTGAGTGAAGAAATACTTCCTTTTGTTTTAAACCTGCTGCCTATTAACTTCATAGGATGACCCCTAATTCTTGTGTTATGTGAACCCGTAAATATACTTTCCTGTTCCCTTTCTCTACTTCTATCATTAGGGTTTAGCTTGGCTACACTGCTACACCTGTGTACTATGAACTGCAGGATCACAGCCCTGAAACAGAAATAAACCCATCACCAATGGCTTCTGATATCTCAAGGTGTAAATCTGTATCTCAAATTTCACTCAAAAAAAGGAAAAAACAAACCAAAAAAGCTTATTTGACAAAACAGTTATTCTGTTGAAGAAAGGGCTCTAGGAGAGTGTTACCACAAATTTCTGTGTAGAGGGCTAAAGAATTTAGTAACTTCTAAAGAAAAATGTTGTTTCCTAAGGGGGAAAAAATACCTATCTTCCCCTCTAATAGAGAAAGCAATATATTGTCTAGTCCAGATATTACAATTTGCTTTTTGATAACCCACATAAGTCAGTTTGTTCACCTCTTAGCATTTCACACGAGGTTTAAATTGTATTAGAGTGTCATATTTTGTATTCAAAATTGCATTGCTGAGCTTCCTGCTGGCAACTGTCATTATTCTGGAGTGTTACATTTATGATGCTCAGAGCGCAATATCAGATTGTAAACTAATTTACATGCTACTTTAATACTGATTTAACAATAAGAACTTTAATGTTTACTATTTATACATAACCTTGTCATTGTTGATTTCACATTCTGAGGCACTGAAATGGCAATTTTAATGAAAAACTTCACATTTCAAAAACAACTGCACAGATGGTGACAAATGCTTAAGATGTGAATTTAAAGAAAGCTGCACTAAAAATAAAAAATTAAAATTTCTTTTAATAAAGATCCCATATCAAACAACCCATTCAAACACTATGCAATAAATAATAACACTTTGCACACACATCGTTCTTTTCAAATGAGGATCTCAAAATACTTTACAACCATTAATTAATCCTCAACATTCCTATGAGGTAGGTATTACCCTCATTTTACAGAAGGATAAGATGAGACTCAGCGAGGTTAAATGTATTGCCAAAAATATACAGGAAATATGTAACATCTGGAAGCAGAATGCAGGAAACCTAGCTCCTGGTGCCATTCTCTAATCGCTATTTCCCCTCACTGTTAATTCCATATTGGCCTGAGTGACTTTACAGTAATGTTAACCCATGATATTGTTATGGCTATAATGGGTAGCTGTAACAAATTGCACATCTGAGTTACTGAGAGATAAAAGCGTGCTTCCCCCACAAGAGAAATCAATGTTTTCATAGTTAATGAGTTCAAATGTTAACATTTGGAGTAGGCTGTCTTTATTACCCAGATTCATATGCATGACAATTTATACATGCACATCAGTAGGATGCCCCATACAGAGAAGGCAACTGAAAAGCACACCAGAACCTTTATTATAAGGAGTATTTGATCAAGGTGTCTATTAATCACTTTGAACAGACTCAATATGACATTTTTATTTTAAATGTTTCCACTGTACTAACATCATTTGGTATTTATATTATTCAATACAATGACTGTGCATTTATTATTTAACTACCACACTAGCTATACTCTCTAGTCACAAAACATGTAATGTCCTACCAATTTTATTTCTTGAATGTCTTGCTCTTTATAGGCCGAATCCTTTAAGTTTTACTCAGGCAAGACTCCCAAGAGCCCTGTAAACACCAGCCAAATTACATGCTGCCTCCCCTTTAAAATGAATGGCACACCTCTTGTACTGGCACTGGCTGCCAATTTCACCACAGTACACAGCAATTAATTATCAATAAAGAAAATTCTCTACCGCTCCCACCTTTTCTGTATTGTTATTTAATCAAAATAGCAGGTAACTATTTGAGGCATACATTCAAGTAGTTTTATGGCTTGATTTATGTTACTAATATTCCATCTAACAAAAATGCAGCATATTTTTGTTCCTGATTATTTTAGGCTTGACATTTCATCTATGCCAGAATATTAGCGACATCTTTGAAAGCTGCCGTCAATCATCCTGGAAACTCTTGCTAGTTAAACTTCAACAGAGTTCCTAAAGCTGTAGCTGCTACTAGCATGATTTAGAAATAGCCATGTTTTCTAGAAGTACTGGAAACCTTTCACCACTCATACAAAATATCTAGTATTTTAAGTCTTTAAACTGTAAACCTGGGTATGTTGTTTAATGTCCAGCATACATTGCAGGTGCTAAAATAAATAACTTTTAATGGTTTTGGAAATAACAGAACCAGGGCAGATTTTATGTTTTAATGGACTCTAAGTAAGAGAGGGGCCTAAATCACCCTGCAGGTAACCTTGTTTCCAGAAGAAGAGATCAAGCAGGACCTCATGCCAATGGCCCTAACACAGATCACAGCGGGATTCTTGGATCCAGCCTGCGAGGCATTCCCAAAAGCAAAGTCCTCAAACAGTGACGATCTTTTGGAGTCGGGCCGTGGTTTAAAGTACTAAAAGCAAATATTACAGAACATCGTCCGCCTCTAGCTTCATCTCCCCCCGCGGGGCCAGGGGCGCACAATGTCCCAGACATAGTCAACCTGAGCACTGGACAAACCAATGAGAATGGAGGTGGCTGCTGATAAGCCCCGGCACTACACCAGGGGCTCGCTCCCGAGGGGTTGCCACCGCCTACCGTGGAGCTCGAGGGTCTCTCCCACCGTCTACGGGAGGAGCAGCCTGAGGGTCTCTCCCCCCCGCCACCGAACGTTGGGACAGAAATAGAACGCTGAAGAGCCCACTATTCTTTCCACCCCTGCTGATCCAGAACCAGGCACAGCTGGCAACCGGTGCCTACAAACCTCCTTCCGCCCCCAGCATCGCGCTGCCTCTTACCTGGCCCGCTCCTCCGGCAGCCGCCCGGCTTCTCCTCTGCGGTGAGTGAGTGTGCGGAAGCCGGAACCGGTCCCTCCTTAGCCGCTCTCGGCTTCACACACAGCCGCTCGCTGTGCAGCCTAGGAGGTTCCGGGCGGCGGCGGCTGGATCCCGGATCCTTTCCCCGGTGCCAGGGTCTCCAGGACTAGTGTGGCTGCCCGAGAGCAGTATCGATCTGCAGGGCGTACGGGTACCTTGGAAGCTGAACTTTGAGCGGACACGCGGCCGGGGGCAAAGCGCTGTCTAAAAATGCCCCTTCTCGTGCGGGGCAGCACAAAGCCAGGCGTGCTCAAACTTGGCCGGTGCTGACGGCCACCGTGATCCTTGATCTTGCCCAACTCCTAAGCCGAGACTCTGTTTCCTGTATGTCTGCGAAGTCCTGGATAAATAATAAATCATGTATAAGATACAAAAATAATGCATGTAGATAGACACATTGTGAGCCCAATAACCGCATCTGAGCAATCGTCTCTGGTCAGCATTGCCTCGGGAAATAAAACTAGATTGCAGGGTTTGTGTAATGTTTGCTTGTTAGTGATGGGATAAGCTTTAAATATGAGCAAAGCCAGTAGCTGTTTGGGCTCCTGTTGTGCATATGTGCATGTTAAAATCAGAAGTAAGAACTTGATTTAATATATATATTATTATAGAGAGAGAGCGTGCACCTCTTTGGCAGTTTAAAGATAGGTAAGATCTCTACTGGAAAGAGTGTACAATCTAACCAGAGTAGGTACAAATAAATCATGAGAGATGTGATGTAATGTGATTCATCAGAACATTCTGATGTACATTTTATTTTTAGTTCTATCATTTTTGGTGTGTGTGTGTGTGGTGGGGTAGACTGAAGGAGTCAAGGTGGGGAGAAAAAGAGATGCAAGCAGAAATGGAAAGGCTCTGAAAGCATAGATCAAAACAACAGTCAAAGTGGATTTTTTGATGACACATACTAGCAAATGTTAAATATATAGCTGGTGTGGGAATTTCCAGGATGCAGTGTAGGAGCACCGCTTTTAAATTCCATTGAAATACATTGGACAGGGATTGGAAGAACACAATAGAAAATGTGTGGTCACCAAATGACGACTGACCCTCTTAAGCTAAGACAGTTGGCATGTTCTTGCCCCTTTTGGCCCAAGTGGTTAGCCAAAAAATTGGGATCTAATAGGTTGTTCCAGTTAGGAGGAGAAACTGGTGATAATCAGGTTTCATTCAGTCTCTAAGGTGCCACAAGGACTCCTCTGAGCAAAAGCTCCTGGGTGGGTTCATATATTCCTTTTCTTAAGTGGGGGCTTATGCTTACAGTTATGTTAATCGAAAGGTGAGTTCACACCTATCATTCTTAATGGGATTTTAACTCAACCCCTAATAAGATTTCACCCAGCCCATAACAATATAAACATAATTGTAATATATTTGCTTGTATCATCCTTGACTGAAAACTAGAAATTGCTTGCTGTCTGAGTTTACCAGCAATAATAAACATTCATATTTGATCTCTGCAGAAAAAGAAGGACCATGGACTACATTTGATCTGTTGGATTACGCTTTGGGTACCTGCATCCTGGAGAGAAGCCAGAAATCTCTCTCCATCTTCATTAGTGTGGGTACTAATTAAGCAGAACATTTTTCTGCTGATTTAAAATGTATGGTACTGGTACAGTGCTTGAAAAATAATTGAAAAAATCTTTCTTATTAACATTAATGGCTGTATGTTACACCTTTGACCCTCTCTTCTAATCTCTCAGAGAATATCCCTTAACGTTTTAGGCCTCTTGCCTTCATCTGTCCTGGGCTGAAATCCTGTGATTCTCCCACTCTGACTAGTCCTTAAGGTACGCTACCCTGAGCATAAACCATGATTCATCAGTAGGCCCAACTGGGCTCAGTGCCTCCAATCTTCCCTTCAGAAGTTGTGACCCAAACTATGACCCAATACAAATTTTTGTTTAATCTTAACATCAGAAACCTAGCAAAGAGAAAAACACAATGAAAAGCCTGTCTGCATATACATCTTATCTATAGGCTTAGGCATAGGTGCTGGAGCTGGGGGTGCTGCCATACCCCCTGGTTTGAAGTAATAATAACAACCCAAATATATGGTTTCCACCTTCAGCACCCCCACTATAAACATTGTTCCGGCACCACTGAGGTAGGCTAATCTTATTCTTATCACAGCTCCTTTTACCTCTGGGGCCCTAACAGCCTCTGCCTCCCTCTTCCCTGACCTTCAGGGACTCTCCATTTATCCACCCAAAGTTCTTTGTTCTATTTTTTCCTGTTTGTTACAAGCTAGGAAAACCTGCTGCCACCAAGATAGACTGGTTAGCTCAGAATGGTGGTAGGTAAAACTTCAAAACGAATGACACCTGCATTGTCTTTTAAGTATCGCTAAATGGGGGCTGTCAGAAGCTATTGTCCTCTTTCCTGCTTATGTGCAACTCACCCCTGCTTGAATTAACTTCTTAAAATCATATATTGAACCACACAATAACAAACAACCAGATGGAACATATAATAGTCATAAAATATGACAGGCAACCCCCCATCCTTCATATATGTTTGTTTGTGCACATGTTCTAATATTCATTAGAAGATGTTTAGTGTAGTTATTAAATTTATATGTTCTACAAAACTGAAGGTGAGGGAGGAAAGCTGGTAGTTAGCTATCAATACTGCTCTTTAACTGACTAGGTGGGTTTCTGTTGAGTAATGCCCTCATGTCAGCCTAGCAGCACTGACTCTGCTACAGCCCTAAACCATTCTGTCTGGGGACCAAGAGACCGAGACCAGAAATGAGGGACAATGAGGGTCACCTTGGATAAGCTAAGGAATACATATAATATTGTGTGCAGTATTTTTTGTCATATTGTTAGATTAATTGTAAATCCCGTGGTATACATGGTGGTTCCTTTCTTCTCTGCTCAAATACTATGTTGTCCTGCAACTTTTGTAGTCATGTGGAAAAATGGGTGGAAATAGCTACCAAAGCAGAATGTTGGTGTTTTATACCCAATCTTCACTGATATAAATTGTTGAGTTGTGTAAGGTGCAGAACAACAGAGACTCAAGCAATCTTTCTTTCTTTTTAATTCAGGTTTCTGGGGCTGGATAATTGGACTGAGCAGGAGCACTGGGGAGTCAGAGTGATATGCTGGGTATTGGTGCAGTGAGGCAGCAAAAAGCCTGCTGATCAAGCCTTTTCTTCACATCCTGCCTTCTTGACTCCATAACTCAGTTCATTAGCTATCCTCCTTACTGCCTAATATGCCTCCCTGGTTACGTCTACACTGCAAAACCAAAATAAAATCCCCCACAACAGCAAGTCTCAGAGTCTCTGGTCCATAGTCTCAGGTTTGTGCTATGGCACTAAAAGTAGCAATGTAGACATTCCCTCCCACTCAGGCTGGAGCTCAGGCTCTGATACCCCCCACCCCCTCCTCACCAGGTTTCATAACCTGAGTGGGAGCATCTACACGACTATGTTTCGCACAGTAGCACAAACCTCACAAGCCTGAGTCTGTAGACTTGGGCTCTATGACTCTGCCATGGGTTATTTTGTTTGCTTATTTGTTTGCAGTGTATGTGTGCCCCCTGGCTTCTCTACCTGCTAGTTCAGAGGCTGTTGCTCATCCCAAAGTTACCTACAGTCTACACAAATCTGAAGTCTCTTCACTCTTGGTGTTGTAAATTAACATCAGAAATTAAAATCATGAAGCTGAAGTTACAGAAATAGTTATTTACAGTAAGAGAAGGGGTTCTCTGCATGAATAATTTGAGTCTCTCCTTTTGTGTCTTTGATAAACATTTGAGTCTTAGCAGGTTGAGAGGTACGCCTAGTTGTTTTTATGCCTCCTGCAAGCCTTTCACAGATTTGCTAAGATACACTAGCAATAAAGTATCTCAAAGTGGCTTTCCATTTTGTCAAATTTAGGAAGTCTGTCAGAGAAAGAAGCTGCTCCTTAGAGAAGATAGGTTGCAATGAAACATAGGTTGATGGTGTCAAGATTGGATAATGAGACATTATCAGTGCATCTCACTGTAAGTTCTCAAGTCATTTTGAAAATATAATAAAGCTTGTTAGCTGTCACGTCCAAATAACTATGGACCTAATTGGTGTAATTTATTTTTAATTAAATACATGGCACTTGCCTTTTTCTCTAAAATACCCTGGCTGTTTCCATCTAATTAAGCTCCTGTTACCTTCCTACCTATTCCAATAATTACCTTCATTATTGCAATGCCTCTGTACAGCATTCAATGTGTCTGGCTCCGAGGGCATTATATTATAAAATGGGTGCAGTGTATATGTTTCTAACTGACTTTTGAAAGTGCATACATCAAATGTAATTTCCTTTTAAATCATAGCCTTGCAGCAAGTGACCTTAAAAGCTATGTCAATATTTGCTTGATGTAAAATCATTTTGTCCAAAGACACTTGTCCCTGCTGATTTAACTATATAAAGAAAAAGGGAATAAAGAAAGGAACCTCAGGCAAACATTTACTGGTGTATAGTAAAGTATCATGTTCAGATAGCATATTCTGAAATGTACCCGGTTACATTAGGTGAGGGAAAGATTGTATGTTTTTCTTTTGTTTTATAACTGATGCTTAGAATTATTATTCATACCATGCACTGCAACTCAGTAAGAAATCTCTAACTGGTCATTTCATCGGATCATGTGTTTGTGAAGTACACCAGAAAAAAAAAATTGTTGCTAAGAGATTAGGATTCAGCAAAGCACGTAAGCACATGTTTAGTGGTCCCTTGTGACCTTAATCTATTAATCTTTTTTGTGAATCTTAAATTGCAGAATTTCCCATTTCTTCCATTATGTCCATGAAGAACAGTGAAACCATCCATTCCATGTAATATAAGCCAAAGAGTGTAGCTGTTATCTGAGATTTATTACTGATTCTCATATTGGATATTTGATTCAGCCAGGGCTTAAAGAACAGCTCATGCTTTTGAAGACTTAAAATGTGGAAATGAGTATCGTAGTGGTCTTGCATGTCAGGGCTTTCTGGTGATGGCTCTGTTATGTTCTAATCTAGCAATGTATATTCTTCTGGTTCATCTGTCTCTCTCAAGGCCCCCATCTTTGCCTGAGGAGTTTACCAAAGCATGATAGCAATGCAATCTTCAAAATAAGTCCTTGATCCTGCTGTGACGCACGTACATGCTTAACTTTACACACTGTTCATGGGACTTCAATGGGACTACTCACATTGCATGTTAAGCACGTGTGTAAATCATTGTAGGATCAGGGCTTAAGATGTTAACAACATGATTCAATGTTTTGCCCCTTGACTTCAAAACATGCAGTGTAATAGTGGAAGAACTTTTATATCTACCTATTTGTGCATGTGGAAAAAATACACATACGTGAATGCAATATAAGCAGTACGTATGTCATACAAGAGGCTTCTATGACTTCCATATAAACTATTTTTAAGGATGGTCCAGTGGTTAGGGCGCTAGCCAAGAATTTAGGCCAGGGTGGGCAAACTTTTTGGCCCAACGGCCACATCGGGGTGGAAATTGCATGCAGGGCCATGGATGTAGGGCTGGGGCAGAGGGTTGGGGTGCGGGAGGGAGTGCGGGGCGTGGGAGGGGGTGTGGTGTGCAGGAAGGGGCTCAGGGGGTTGGGGTGCAGGAGAGGGTGTGGAGTGTGGGGGGGCTCAGGGCAGGGGGTTGGGGTGTGGGGTTCAGGAGGGGGCTCAGGGTAGGGGGTTGGGGTGCAGGAGGGGTGTGGGGTGCGGCAGGAGGCTCAAGGCAGGGGTACCTCCCCCAAAGCTCCCATTGGCTGCAGTTCTCTGTTCCCGGCCAATGGGAGCTGCGGGGGGCAGTGTCTGCAGGCGAGGGCAGCCTGCGGAGCCTTCTGCCCCGCCCCCTCCCCAGGGGCCGCAGGGATGTGGTGGCAGCCACTTCTGGGAACGGCGCAGGGCTGGCAATCCTGTGGGCCGGATCCAAAGCCCTGACGGGACAGATCCGGCCCGCAGGCCATAGTTTCCCCACCCCTGATTTAGGAGATCAAGGCTAATTTCCCAGTTCTGCCACAGACTTCCTGTGTGACCCTGAGCAAGTCATTTAAACTCTCTGTGTCTCTGTTCCCCATCTGTAAAATGGGAATAATAATACTTCCATACTTCATAGAGATGTTGTGGGAATAAATACATTAAAGACTGTGAAGTGCTTGGAGATCTACTGATGAAAAGCACTATTACAAAGTTTTGTATTAAAGTGGTTACACATTTGAAATATATATATGAGCTATACTTTCATATATGAAATATATATTTCCTTTAACAGAGGCAAGGCAATCAGTTTGAGTGTGAAGTTTATTTAATATGTGATTTATACTTTTCTGATACAATAAATACTCGCGCAACTTGATTGGTTAACATGTGTATATATAATGCAATTGTGATAAGGTGGATCAGTTTTAGCCAAACGAGACTCTAATTTTAATATCTTCAGTATCACTCTCATCTAATTTGCCCTAAAATTAAACAGGAAAACTATTCAGTATGCATTTGCATAAGTCTTCTAAAATGGAAAGCTATTGAGCAAGGTAAAGCCATAATTAAAGGGGGAAATTACCATCTAGTTAAAAAGCAATGTGAAAAAGGTACTGTGGCATGCAGTTTTGTGTTCAGGAATATATGAAACAGCTAAAGTACTGAATATGCTACTGCAATTGTTTAAGAAAATAGATGGAAAATTAATATTCTGTCTTATCTCTCCCAATGTCAATGGGATTCTTTTCATTAGCTTCAATGGATGTTGGATCTACTTGATAGTAGGAGGCATTGCCTTGGAGATTTTTCCAATTATCTTCAAACACATAAAAACTTTTCAGAATTTCCCCCCTCCCTCACTGGTGTTTCTAACTTCCAGGGAACACTAAAATAGAACTCTGCAGTTAAACTCCAATATTGGCTATAGATAAGAAACAGAATTATACCCTGAGATTATAATGAAATCGCACAGCAATTTATCACAGAGAGTTTTATATTTCATTTTATGTAATACCTATATTACAAATAATATGTCTGAATGTGAGTAATTGCGTGTAAAATCATATGCTTATGGAACTGTGAATGACAGAGCTAAGAACCACTTCATGAGTTTTTCAGCAATCCAAGTCATGGATATCAATCCTCAATAATTCTGGTTCATTTCAAGAAACTATTTGGTTATATTCCACTGCTGTTTGGTTGGTATTCCCAGAGCAGTTCTTATCCATTCTCATTTTTGTTTTCTTTGTTAAATTTCATTGGAATTGTCATTATAAACACACAGTCCAATCACTTCTCAGTGTTATTGAAATGTCACTATATGCTCTATGGTGACAATATGTACTAAACTCCTTATTTAGATTTATTGCAAAGTAATGAATCTGTATTGCTTTTTTAAATAGAGGTGTGTGAATAAGTAATGTATCCTAATAAGTCTTGTGGTGTTACACATAGATATATTTTTGTACATGTTCTAAGTTTTGTTTTTAAGAAGCCGAACAAAATATTTATTGATGTAGAATAATCATGGGTCCAAGGGTTTGTTGAATTATTTATAATATTTATATAAACAATTATACAAAACTGTACACTATAGTAGATAATGGGAACAAGCAAAAAGCAAACACTTCACAAAAACCATATTTTGGACACGTATCCCATTTCACCCTCAATGTCATCCTAATCAATTAACAATACATTTCTCAAACAACTGTGTTTTCTTTTTTGATAAGAAGGAAGTTCTTTCAACATGTACATACAGTAATATAGAATGTTTTGCATTACAGGTGTGTTGAATTTAATGGTAGTGTGATGTGCCAGAAGGATAGACTGGGCGTCTGAAGAAGTCCGATAACCATAGAATTACTATAACACAGGCAGGGCAGTACCAGGTTTTACCCTTCTAATTTGTCTCAACATGTGCTTGGAGGGATCACCTCTAAGAATCAGAGAAGCTTGTTCTACACATGCATTCAATTTTTGGCTTCTTGGGAGAGATTACTAGTGTTGATCCCAATTGTAATAGTGGTTTTGGTTGTTTTGTTTTTACCTGGTTCTGGATCTGACTTTTTAGACAGGTATCTACATTACAAAAGTAATGAGACTGCAGCACATATCACACAAGTCTCTGAGGAGCAGTTAGATGGTAATGACTTTTGGTCACTACTTGCTCCCTTTGGTGTAAAATAGCTTGAATTCGACCACCTGGGTATGTAGCAAAAGCCATTTGTTGAACAGGTCTTTTGAGAGAAGGATTAGGATATGTTCCTGGCTGTGATTCTTTTTTTGGTGTCAAGGGGAGGCTTTTCTGAAATTTTGTCCAGTTTTATTGTTGCCTGGCTGAGGTAAAGTTTTATTTCCACTTGATTACTTAAAGGTGCTACCTGGTGAAATTACTTTGTGTGTGGTTAGTATTTATGTTGCTAGTTGATTTCTACTGTAAGTCTAGTTATTGTCCAGGTACTCAGACCTTCATATGGCTGTTCTTTCTTTTTTTTTTTTTTTTTTCTTTCTTTTCTTAAATGTTATATGTAAATAAATATCCTGGAATGCTTTTAAAGCAGTGACCTAAAAAAGAGAGGCTTCACATCCCATTACCAGTCCCCTGAGCCATTTGTCCCCTTGACTGTCATTTACATTTGTTTAACATAAAACTTCCATATAAAAACCCAGGGTGATAGCTATTCAGCACACTATGGCTTTCAAATATGAAGATATGAAATCTCATTTTCTCTGAGTTCATTTGTGACCTCAGGGGCCCTTTAACTTCTAAAGGCTGTAAACTAAGGTTTGAAAGGGGTCAACAAAGAGAATAAGGGGAATGAATATGTTTCTTATGATGGGCTGGATCCAGCTCCATTTGAAGACATTCGGAAGTTTTGCCATTAGCTTCAAGGGAGACTGGACCCTTCTGGAAGTCTGAGGATTTCTAAAGTATGCCCTGCTGAGGCAGTGTGCCATTGTGTATGTTAGTATAGATTTCTAGGCAGGAGCATGTCAATGTGTGAGTTAGTGCGGATTTCTAGGCACCAGTAAGCCTGTCATTTTGTGAGTCACTGATAATTTCTATGCATGAAGTGACTGTTTCTGTGCTGAAGTATGAACAAACAAAATCCAGAGCCTCCAGTCATTCCAAAATAGCCTAATCAAGGCTATCAAATAAATGGATTGTCAAAAAAATTATTTCGCTTGCTGAATTTATTAATGAAGTTGCAGAAACAAAAGGAAATTCAGCATTCCAGATCCCTCCCTGGGTCTTTTTTGAACATTTCATGAAGAGCAAAGATAAATACATGTTAACATATTCATGCTTAAGTATGTAAAATCAAGGGGGCAGCTGGTGATTATTGTGCATATTGAATGGTGAGAGAGGTGCATCTTGTCATTTGCAGTGAATCGCTTCTGTCTGATGTATCCTTAGATAGACTGAGAACTGGAAGCAATTGGTGAAGGAGGTAACTTCATGTAAGCATGTGAGTGACAGACTGCAAATATTTCATGAAGGAACTTAGTAACTATATGAGATGAAGTTTGAGAGTTCAGTTCTTGAGCATATGTTAACATCTATACTCTGATAAGTTACATCCTTGGCATACATTAATATAAAGAAATGCAGACACTGAATCTTTAGAATACAAAGAACTAAGACATTTGGACCTCATAATAATCAAGTTAAGAACAGGCACAAAACTCCAGGCCAGTGTGTGAATATCTGATCCTTGCAGATATATATATTAACTACATCTTAGATCTTTAGTTCAAGTATGTACTGTAGATAGTTTGCTACACTTCAGGAATGCTCTTGTACAAAGCAGGCTCCTCTCCAAAGCGTCTTATTTAACCTATCCCCAAAGCATCTTGTGTGTCATGGAATAGTGATTAAAGAAAGACTTGCAGAGTTTTCAAACAAAAGGGCACAATACAGGGCATCAAAAGTAGGTGATGAGATAAAATTGGGGAAAAACTGACAGAACCCACAGATCTCTCCATGCCCCAGGAGATCCTAGAATACAGAAATCATGAGGGGACTCATTATAATAGAATTAAATTATTTTTATATATTATATGAACCTAATTTTGTATACTATAAAGCAAGACTTTCCGCAAGAGGGCGTTTCTTCAGTCAGGTATTTTCATTACAGCGCTAGCACTGGCTAGTACAGGAGAGATTTTGTTAAATCCAAACAAATGCTAAGAATCTGGCTGAGTTTATAAAATCCACTGCTGTAGAACTAGGAGTACTTGTGGCACCTTAGAGACTAATAAATTTATTGAGCAAAACCCACTTCATCGCATGCATGCAATGGAGAATACATTAGGAAGATATATATACACACAGAATATGAAGAAATGGGTGTCGCCATACCAACTGTAATGAAAGTTAATCAATTAAGGGGCGCTATTAGGTGAGATATCAGCAGGAGGAAAAAAAACTTTTGTAGTGATAATCAGGATGGCCCTTTTCAACAGTTGACAAGAAGGTGTGAATAACAGTAGGGGAAAAATTAGCATGGGGAAACAGTTTTTGCTTTGTGTAATGAC